TTGAACCTCATGATGTTGACGTGGGCCCACTGCTTGAGCCTGTCTAGGTCCCTCTGGATGGCATCCCATCCCTCTTGGGTGCCAACCACACCACGCATCTTGGTGTCATTCATAAATTTGCTGAGGGTTCATTTGATCCTACTGCCAGTGTCACTAATGAAGATATTAAAGAGCACTGGTCCCAGTATTGACCCCTCAGGGACACCATTCTTCACCAGTCTTCATCTGTACATCGAACTACTGACCACTACTATCTGGATATAATTTTGCAACCAGTTCCTCACCTATCAAATGGTCCCCCTATTAAATCCATATGTTTTCAATAACAACAGGGAAATCATTCAGCAATTACCATCACAAAAACAATTATACAAAGAATTACATGCATACTCTCAGCATAGGGAGAGTAATGTAAGGTATTGCCTACTGGCAACAACAACAACAACAAAAGGAAAGAAAAAAAGAAAGAAAAAGCAAAGAAACTAGAGCTTAAAGAAAACTAAAATATCTTCCCCCCCCCCATCCATTCCCTTCTACCTCCTCCTGAGCAATGCAGAAGAATGTGGAATGGGAGCTGCTGTAGTCAATCCATTATACTTCATCTCTGCTGATCCTTTACAGTCACTCTCCGCCCCTGCTCCAGAGTGGGGTCTCTCCCATGGGATGCAATCCTTTCCAAACTGATCCTGTCTGGGCTTCCCACAAGATGCAGCTTTTCAAGCTCTTCTCCAACATGAGTCTGTCCATGGAGACACACCCTTTAGGAGCAGACTGCTCCAGCTCTGGTCTTCACAGGCAGCAGCTTCCCCAGCCTCCCTGCTGGGCTCCCCTTCATGGGCTCCCCTTCATGGGCTGCAGCTCTGACCCAAAACTTCTCTTGCAGGTACTCTCCATCGGCTGCAGCCTTCAGGCCACATCTTCCTCTGATCATTGCTGCTGTTTTGTTTTTAGGCCCATCTCCCTCCATACCTTTTCCCCATTTCCCCCTTCTCCCTCTCCGAGTGTGGGTCTGTGGGTCCTCCTGCCCCGTTAGTCATGGAACTGGGCCAAATCGGCCCAAAAAACAATTGATAAGTAATGAGTCAATAAAGCTTTTGTACAAGTTCTCCTCAAACAAGAAAGTGGTTTATAGGCCTACCTTTGCTAAGCCTGACAGTAAAAATGAGTCCTTATGTTTTAGGAGGGCCAGGTATTTGTACTGAATGAACATAAAATCTGTGGTTCACTGCTATAACAGTGCTTTGTGTCAAAAGATGACAGCCTTTACCCTTGCTTAATATAGCCTAACGTGGGTGGTATGAAAGTTATGAATAACTGCAGAGAATGCAGTCCAACAAAAATCTGTTCCATGTTATTAATATGCCAAAATTCAGTCTGGGAAAAAGTAATTCTTATTTAGCTTTTATGGCTTTATATATTCTACTAAGTTCATGTAAATATACTATCATTAGATAGATAGGTAATTAAATAATGTAGGTTTGGGGCCGAGGTTCTTTCTTTAGGCAATAAATTTAATACCATATTTCCAGTTTCACATCCACTAATATAATGTATACTCTTAAATCAACAAAAATAACAATAAAAATAATAAAAAGATAATATATGCTTCTGCTTTAATTGCTTAAATTACTGGAATTGAATTATTTTCCGTTTCAAGATTTTACAATGGAACTCAGGGAGCCTGAAATAGGTTGGAAGGATGTTAAATCAATAGCTTTTACCTACTTTTTGTTTCTATGTATTTTAATAATTTAATGGAAGCTTGTAGACAAATGGTTATGTATGCTGCAATATAACATTTTAAATGATAGGGCATTGCTTTATCATTTAATCATATTGACTAAATTGCTCTTCAGAACTTGGTAGTAATTCTTGTTAATTTTGAAAAATACTCAAGGAATACTCAGTGATTCAAGTTTACTGTGTGTGTGTAATTAAGTAGTCTTATAAGATAAATACTCATGAAATTATTCCAAGATACACACTGTTAAAAGATGTACCTGTCAATTAATTATTTCATCATTTCCATTATTCCATCATTTTTCCCCTTCTTTTTCTGCTTGTTCTTGTGGTGCATGTGCTTCCTAGATGTCTTGCCTTCAGCATCAGAGTATCTGAAAGCTATGAACATTCAGTTATCGTTGTTTACAGAACATGGGAATCTAGATTTAAGTAAGTAATATATGTTTATATGCCGTTTTCTGGACTTTTTTCTCTGAAGGACTTTCACTATTTAAAAGTCTTTAGAGTATTCTTGTGCTAAATTCAGCACTAGCATTAAAAGGTCAGAAAGCAGGTGCATCAGTAAAAATTACATGTTCCCTCAAGTTGGCATTTATGGATATATAAAGTAAATAAAGGTTGAGGTAGAAAAAAAAGTATGTGTCAGGGAAAGATTAACCCTGTTTTTCCTTGTTCTCTTTTAGATGCTTTATTTTTATATCCTTTGAGTAGCTGCTTAAAAAAGAGATTAAGAAGTCAAACAAAATAATGTTTATCACTTAAAAAAATAAAATCCACTATGGAGATAGTGATATCAACATTGGATTACCATAAATATTCCCCTATTTATGTTAGATTATATCTGGTGAATTTTAAGTATTTCTTATATTTCACCAAGAGTGTTTAACTTTTCTATGTCTCTTGATTTTAATATTACAATGACATTCAGAGCACTATATACAATTGATTATTCCATACACAAAATCTGTAACATGCTGATCACGGAGAAAAAAAAAAAGATATAAACTTGATGACAAAGAACATGGTGGTAAAATACTTAGTTTAAAAAGTATAATTTCAGAGACTGAAGAAATCCATTATAATTTTTAATTAACAAAATGATTATTTCAGTATTTACATTGCCTCTGTTTCTCTTTTTCTCATTTCTTCTCACTATTTTCTTTAGTGTTCTTCTTCTCCTTTATAAGTACTAGCTTTAGCTTATGCTTTATAACAGTACTTTAAGATATTTATTTTAATTGAATTTACCACAGGAAGCTGCTTGTGGTTTTCTTTTGAAATATATACATAATATCTTGAGGCGTATATTTTTTGCATTTCAGGATGAAAATAAAGTGCAGGTTTTCTTTCATATTATCAATGCTTTTCTTCTTGTGCTACTGAAAAGTCGCTCCAGAGAACCAGATAATTCTTATTGTTTCACTCTTCGCTACACTCAAAGATTTCCAAAGATGACAGCTGTTCCTGGACACACCTGTTCCTCCCACAGTCTTTCATTTTCCAGTAATCCCACTATATGGGAACTACTGAATCAGGGACTGAACCTCTGATTTACCACCTGAGCAAGCAATGAATCAGCCATGGAGCACAGGTGAAGGAAATTCACCTGTGCTACTGGAAGGGGTGGAGCCTGGCTCCACCTCTCCTAGATCCCATTTAAGTGCTGACTGCCACTGGAGAAGGGTCTCTTCTTGGAGATCACTCCTTGTGGGGTGTATTGTAAGTCTACAATGTTGGTAAGCATTTTCCATTTATAATCTTTCTGTTACACTGATCTTACTTAGCCTAACTTTCCTGTATACTTCTTAATTACAACATCTATGTATTCATTAATTATATATTCATTGATTATATGCCCACTTTCCAGAAAATCACATGCATTCTTTTTCTATTGTATGTAATACAATTGCTTTTTCAACTTGTGTTTCAGTTACTTATGTTGGCACTGGTGACTGAAGTAATGGCTTCACATTAGCAACAGTTAATAGCACTTGTATGTAAAACTACACTAAACTGAAATGTTTCTGTTGGAATTCTACCTAGAAAATTATGATTGAGTGTTCTACACATAAATGATCCCTGTCTGTCAGAATTAAGGTATTGAAAGGTGAACAGTGTTCCTGAGATGCTCCTAAATCACTGTAGTAGTACACATTTCAAGCTGCCTGTTATGAGTGAGCTTCATGAGCTTCAGTTTTGTGGTCAGCATACTAGAACATCTATAGGCTTTTAACTGAAAGGAGTGATCATGTTTGCCAGCTACTCTAAAAAGAAAATTAAAAAAAAAAAAAAGCCCTGGAAAATGGCTGACATGCACTCCTATGACCATTGGGGTGAGCCTTGCTGCCTGACTACTAAGCAGCTAGGGATGCCAATAGGAAAAGGAGTTTCTGGATTTGTTATTTAGAACGTATGTAATGTGTTATATTTCTAATTACTACTCCAAATGCTTTTGACCTGACAAGGGAAGTAGCAGTGCACTTGGTGACAGAAGTTTCTGGGGCATCTCAGATTACTCAATGTCTCTGGTAGGCAGACTGCCTCCTCAGATCACTGCCATTAGATGAACTTGCTTCTTGCTCCACAAACACTTTTTTTTGTGTGTGCTATGCCAAGATACACAAGACCCAAGCTTGGCTTTCTGCTCCTTCTTAAATTTGTGGCCAGCAGTTCAGGTGTGTAGGTAGGTGTTAGTCTTCAATTTCCACTGGTTTTTGTAGAAAGACAAACACTCCTTCTCTCTTTTTTATTCTGGCCTACAGGTGCAACATGACATTTAATTATGTCATAGTCCAGATATGTAATGTTTTTTCTTTTTTTATAATCTAGGAGGACATTTATTGGCTGTTTTGCAATTTCACTTGTTGAATTTGAAGGGCCAGCAAAACTGACTTCTGCAGATGTTTATTCAGAGATAGAAATCCAAGTATTCTGAATAGATGGCCTTCCCTCAATGAATATTATATTTTAATAATATTTCTGTTTTATAGGTTAGTCTAAATATGTTGCCGCTCACTTTGCTTCTCCTTGAAAAAGTAGTAAAATATCAATTTATCTTCCTTCTGTTTTATGCTATCAGCTATGATATAACAGAACACTTTTCAAAGTAGTTTTTCCCAAAGTAGTCACAATTTCAACATTCTTTGCATTAAAATGTTTTTATTCACAACAAAATACCTTACCTGAACTATATAATATAGTCTTTTTACAAGTTTATTTTTCTTCCTACTAGTAATTTTTTTTTTACTTGGTGAAGTGAGAACTTATTCTCTACTAATTTACTGTAAAACTGCATTTGCTTGATATTATTTCATTATAAGAAGTTCAATCTAGACCTACAATATGTCAGGTAAATTTAGTGTGTGTAATATATAAATAAAACTTAACTGTGTTATTCTGATCACATAAGATCAGTCTAATATCTACTCTGTACTGTTTTCCAGGAAGGTATGCCAACTAGGTGATTCTTAGCTAGAGTTCATTCCTATGTAATTTGAATACCTGCTGAAGAAGTAAGTACTGTTTAAAACAACAACAAAACTAGAAATCATTTTATGGAAGCAGGAGAGCAAGCACAATCACTTGTGCTTGAATTACACAAAAATATAAAATAAAAGAAATACAGGAGAGATTCAAGTTGGATGTTAGGAAAAATTTCTCTGAAAGAGTACCACTCAGTACTGTATAGGTGCTGGAATGAGCTGCTGAGTGAGGTGGTGGACTCACTGTCCCTGGAGATGTTCAAGAAATGTTTAGATGGTTTACTGGGGGGAAATATTGGTGGTAGGTGTACTGTTGGACTGGATGATCTTGGGTCTTTTCCAACCTTAGTGATTCTATGTCTTCTAGCAGTTTTCAAATATACCAGTTTCTCTGCAGTTTTCAGAAACTCTCCAAGAACTTTAGGTTTGTAATTGCAAAGCCTGGTCTACATGCTGATTTTAGCATCTAATAAACTTTGCTTTAAAGACTTCTACATCCTTTATTAGATCTAGTGAATGAGCATATAACTCACTGCTGACTTTGTTATATATCTCCCTCTGTCCTGACTTGTTATGTAGCCTACTTGGACATTTTACACTTCTAGAGTATAAGTTTCCCCAGCAATGGAGGTAGCTTGGATTTTGCTTAAAATGTTCATCAGCTCAAGGTATTTACATATACATATCCCATGTATATAATAATTTCAAAACTTTGCACTAGAGTATTTAGTAGATGTGAGTATTTAGTGGTGTAGATGTAGAGTATTTCTAACATCAATGGAAAATTAGAATTTTAGAAATATATTACAGATACAGGCAGATATAGCAGCCTTTCTTTGCTTGAAGTTTTCTGATGAGGCAGAACTTATCTTGGGGTCAGCACTACTTTGGGTCTGAAAAAGAAGGCCTTTAGAAGAAAATCTGTTAATTGCACTCTGTGACTTAACTATCAGTTAATGGTTGAAACTTTGAATCTTATCTGGTTAGTTATGGCCAACCAGAAATAATTTGCAGCTAACATACTGTTACAAACAATAGTAGAGTCTCCTAAAACAGTAAGCCCAGGTGAGTTGCTTGTTTCCTTAAAATGCAATCCTTCCTTCTTGCATACTAATTGAATTGTGATTTTTTTTTTTTAAGTACAGATAACTTGTATGTACCCTGAGGACGCATTTTCATCATCATGCGATGTATGGAATATTACTCTGCTTCAGGAGATGAAAGCAATTTCATCTGAGCCCCTCTAGAAACAAGAGCATCAGCTTACCTAGTCATCTGTAGCATCTGCAATGGCTATCTTTCAATAAGCATTCTTCAGTATTATTAATTTCTGTGAGATTTTTACCTATTAGATGTTTCAGATAGAAGATGCACTTGTATTTCTTCCAAACTTAAGACTACACTGCAGCTCTTGTGAATGAACCTTACCTCACTAGATTTAAAACAGTAACATCTTCTTGTGGGTTAGCACTGGATAACAGTCAGACTTCCACTCCATCAGTCAGCAGGATGGGCAAAAAATAGGAAAAAAAGGGAAAAATGGAAGGTTGACATAAAGATGCAGAGATCACTAATTACTAATTATCATCATAGGCATGACAGTCTTGACTTGGGAAAAATTAACTTAATTGAGCACTAATTAAAATAAAATTGTAATGACTAATTTAAGTAGTGAGAGAGAGAAACATTAAAACAACATTAAATTTCCTCAGGACTCAAGCAGTGTTGTTCTTAACAGTTCATCTCTGTTACTCATCCTCTTTCCTTGCATAAGATCTCCACAGACTGTAAAAATAGGAAAAAAAAATAAACTAACACAAAAAAACAACTCCCTCTCCTCAGTTTGGTTCTTTCTACACTGGCTTATTTTCTGCCCTTTCTCAAAAACACTTCCCCAAGGCACCATCATCTTGGCTAGGGGGACAAGTTGTGCCAGGCATGGGGCCATTGAAGCTAAATTGAATCATCTGTATTCATCAAGGACAGCCCAACATCTGCTCAGAGACCCCTACATTGCCCACTGTCAGCAGCTAGGCACCCACACCCCAATTTAAAAATAGCTGGTAGCAATAAAATTCATGGAAACATATGGATATATTTCTATAGATATATGGATATCAGTTATCCAGACAGTGGAATTTTCTAGTCTTCTAGATATCTGGTACATTCTGTAAAAAGTCCTTTAGATATAAAAATGAAAAAACCCACAAAATAAATATCATCTGTTCTGCTGAGTTTTCATCAGTTTCCAAGTCCGTGTGGGCCTTAACCAATCATAGCTTGTTGCCTAATAGTTTTAATGGTAATTCATTTCTTCTTCTAATTAAACACAGATGTAGATCTAAAATTTAAGAAAATAGGGGAAGCTGTAGTCCCTTGACAATCTCATAATTTCCTTTTTCTACCACGCTGCAGGGTCGTTGACAGTACCCCAGAGTCTGACACAGATGCACATTAATTACCTGTTCTGTAATTACTAGGGTACCAGTATAACTGTTCAACCATTCATTAAGCCTTCTTCTCAACTTTGCAAAACCCCCAGAGACATATACAAGAAGCAAGCAACTTGGCAATATTAATTGAACCCTATTAACTCATAAGATGTACAAAAGTGTAACTATTAATAAAAAATCCTTTTTTATTTTGTCCACTAAGCCCACAACATGTAAAGGATCATTTTTGGTACAGTCTGCTTAGATATTCAACAACACAGCTGTTCATAGATTGTTAAATATTGGGCACATGTCAACAAGATTAAAGAAAAATCCTGGCTATTAAATTACCAGTATAATTTCCTCATTCCAGGCCTGCATGAAGATGGTTAGCTGTGTAAGCAAATCTAAGTACAATGATTATAAAGAAAGTTAAGATATTAACAAGAGTTCTGTTAAATTAAAAAAAAAAAAAAAAAAATCAATAATCAGGAAAAAATACCTTCAATTCTTTTGTAGCTCATTTATTTCCAAGATCTAGAGACATTCACTTATGTTTTAAAACATCTTTTACCCACATCATTCAGTTCTTGATATGACTGAAGGTAGTGTTATGACATAAATGAATCAGTCACAAAGAATGAAGTCTTGCTTTTAAATGTCTATGTTTTTCCTGCATCTGTCAAACCTTTGATTTTTAAATTCATTTGTTGCAAAGATGCCACATTTTATCATCTGTTTTTCACAAACCTGTGAGATATTATGATGATTCTCACTTGCTCTCGTTTTAGTTTCACATACTCTGCACTAGAATCTTCAAGCATATCTTATCTGAATAGGAATCATTATTACTTAATAATACAGCCAGTATTTCTTGATAAATGTATGTCAATTTATTTATAGTGACTTGTAATCTACATGTTGCTTATCCTCTATTCAGAATCCGCTGGTGGATTCTCAGCACTTCTTCATTTTAAGAAAGGGAGAAAGTACTCTAACGAGTAATTTCTTTTCAAAGCCCTTCTCAATATATTCAACAGAATTAAATATATTCCGAAGTAACATTTTGGTACCTGGTAGATTACACATGTATCCAAAATCTGTAAAAATGCTAATTATCTGCTATTTGCTAATTATCTATGTCAGAGTAAAGTTAGTAATTATGTTCCTGTATTAAGTTGACCTCCTAGTATATTTTTAGTCTTGTAGAATTTGAAGAGGGAAAATTTAGACTCAAAAAAGATTTTACAGACAAACTTTGACAGTTAAGTTAAACAGTGAGAAGTTTGAAATACATGTACAAAAACTCTATTGTAAAATTAAATGTTGAATAATAGTCATTATATCACATTTTTGTCAAATTAGCTTAAGTGGTTTTTTAGAACTTTTGTAAGTAAGTTAAATAGTAGTGATATACTCTTTACAGTAGGTACTGATATAAGTTCAATGTTCATGAATGATTTTTGCAGTCTATAGCAATTAGCTCAATAAAGAAATCCTTAAAAAATTTGAGAGTTACCACTGAAAAGAAGTATAGGGGGAAAAAATGTCCTCCTTGGAAAGTATTTCTGGAGACTCGATCATCCTGTTGTATCAAATGAGATTCAATAGTTTGTGTTAATATATAATGCACTTTATAAGGTGATCCTGTTTAAGCACATTAAGCATGTTACTCTTACTGCAATTAATCAGGAAAAAAAAAAATACTTGAGAAGACAGTGTATAAGACAGTGTATGCTGGTTGCTCTTGTCTAAATTCTTCCAGAATGTAAGTTATCTTTGCATTTTTAAACAAAGATACATGCCAGTAAATTCTCCAGTTTTGTCTCTGCTTTCGCATGTTTACTCTTTCTTGCTTCAATGTTTTCTCTCCTTGAGATCAGTTAGATCTGGATTACACTTTGTTACAGATTACACTCGAGGGTAATCATATTCCCTTTGTTACAGTTTTCCCTGGCTTGACTAGAGGAGCACAAAGATTATTAAGAATAATTCATGTCAGGATGAGTTTCCAATGCCCTTTATAGCAGAAAAAAAATCTCTCAGGTTTTTTTAATGCCTTAAATTAGATGTCGAATCACTGATAAAATAAAAAAGCCCCTGTAACAGTCAAAATGCTGAGATAACAAAACATAGCAAATAAAATTCAACATAGCATCAGACATGATTACAAGAACGTTATAGCAGAAGGTTTGCTGTCCAAAATCTGGGCAATACTCAACTTACCTTGGAGGATTACTCTATAGCCATCTTAGGTGCAGAATAGCCTTAAGGGAGCTAATAAGTCTGGACTTAATCCACTGAAGAACTAAGCCCTAGGTAATTCCTGCCTGAAGCTGGGCAGCAAGAGGCCTTCAGGGCATGGGCTGTATCCTTATCTGCATAGAGGTTTGGCTCCTGAGCCTGTCCCAGCAGAGGCTGCCTTTATGGGGAGACATAGATTTTGTCTGTAAGGCCCAAACTGGCCTGCATCCATATCTAGCCCCACTGGTCCTGGTCCTCTGGGACCTGTTGTCCCTGCTGAGCCCTGACTGAAACTGGAAGGCAAGTACTTTTCTGCTTTTTAGGAAATGCCATAGGCGTGATTCTAAGTTCTACTTCCTCAAAATAGGGCCTCTAGTAATTTTGTACTGTGTACTGTTTCTAATTAGGCATCCTTCATGCATAGTGCTTTTAAAATATGGAGCATTATGGCATTGTAAGGCAAGATAGCTGACACATACATAAGATTTGCCTTGCTAGTCATTATTTTGCAACAACAAAAAAACAGTGGATGTTGTATTTATCTTGGGGGCAATATTTTTATCTGTTTGGCAGCGAACTTTGTTAAGCTGGCTTAATACTACTGACCTATGCAGAAATATTTATATGCATGAAAGAATGTATTATTTTGGAAGGAAAATTTGGAATTTATCTGTCTGTAAGAGTCAAGGTAAAATGAATATTACTTAGTCCGCTGGTAATTAGAAATGAGACGTTAAAAAAAGTTTTATAATCTGCAATCCAGTGTTCCTCTTCTTTGTGCAGTCTACCTATGTGATAGACTGAGTTTTAATTCTGTTTTATTAGCACTGCCAGTAAGCACAGCAAATTTAGAAGATTGAACCTACAATTAGGAGGGTGTAGAAAGATGGCAAAAGGGAAAGAAAGACTTACTTAATATGTAATATTTCTGTTTAATGATGCAATGGTCTGTACTGTGGCACTATGGATTCTTTGATGTGAAGGTCAGCATTTAAAGAGTTGTATTTTAATTGGATATTTAGATGAGCTATATTCGTTATTATTCTTATTAAATTATAGCTGTATATATCACTTTATTGCATTAACATCTTGTACAAGACTTCATTTGCATTTAATTAGTTTCTCTGTAAAATGATTTCTGGTTTTGAAATTATGCATCTGTACATTACAGAACCATCAAATTATCGGCCTCACTGCTGAAGATCAATTCAGAAGTCTGATAAGTGTGATGAGGTAGGTTTTCCATCATTAAAATTGCCTACAAATTCTTCAGTGCTGTCAAAATGTCATGGGCTGTTATTTAATTTGTTTATGACTAGCAGGAGTCAATGGAATTGTGTGGCAAGATGGGATTTTCAAGAAAGCTGCAATGTCATGATTTAAAAAAACAAGTGTAAGCAAGCAGTATTAGAAATCTGTTATCAGCACAGCTGTGTATCTTCATGCATCTCTTCCCTTTCGAAGGAAGAGTTAAAAAATGCTCCTGTCATAGAATCATTAAGATGGAAAAAGACCTCTAAGATCATCTAGTCCAACCATCCACCTGTTGTAAATACTGTCTACTATGCCATGTCCCTAAGTACCACATCTATACATTTCTTGAACATCTCCAAGGATAATGACTCCACCACCTCTCTCGGAAGCCTGTTCCTGTGCCCAATCACTCAGAATATGCTTTGTATGTTCTGAACTTCTGTAATATAAAATATTTGACAGAAATCATCATGACCATCTCTTTCAGAATTGTATATGGCTTTTTAATATTGTAAGCAATTCATTTATACTAATTAAGTGTGAATTTCACATTTCTTTGGGGAACTAAAACAGAAATAGAAAAACTTAACAAAGTAGTATAGACTGGGGATATTTGCAGTGCATGCTTCAACTTGCAGAGGAGAATTCCAATACAGACTGTAAGACTGACTGCAATTTAAAAGAAAATTTTATCAAGCACATTGTGGAAATAAGAACTCTTGAAAGTGGCTACTTGAGAAATATCTTTTTCTAATATCCCTCCTTCCACTGCTCCTTATATTCCTACTAGAGAATGATGATAATTTTTTCCATACATGTTCAGACTAGGAAGAGTATTTTTAGGGCCTTTTACCAACTGGTTTCTTATGGCCAGTTATATTCACTATTAAAAATTATGCCTTACTTATAGCTG